AGAGAGAGAGAGAGAGAGAGAGAGAGAGAGAGAGAGAGAGAGAGAGAGAGAGAGAGAGAGAGAGAGCCGGATACAGAACGAGAGAAGAGGGAAAATGACAGGAAAGCTGGCAGGAGTGTGATCATGTATGACAATGTACTCCGCTTGCTGACCTGCCAGTGGACTGTTGCACACCAGGATGCGAGGATCCATCCATAAGGCACTTCAGTTTTTCTTTTCGATATGCACACACAAGAGCCGGTTTTTCAAAGAAAACCGGAAAACCGACTGAAAATCCAATAATGATTACTTCTACTGAAACTAGAAATCAAATATCTCACTGAAATACTAACAAAGTTAAACAAACATGTATGAGCGATAATATACTCCTTCCTTTCGAAAATCAGTGTTCACGAGCCTGCATATCATCTCCCGCCTGCTTTGCTCTAAGCAGGTTATTATGTTGCATGTCAGATGCTTCTATACACCACGCTGTCATCAACATTGACAATAAATACAGAGAAAGGACATGCCTAGCCAACTGCGCCATAGAGAGGAGAAAAATAGCCCAGGCAGCTCAGGCAGCCCAGGAAGATTGCGCACACATTATGTGCACTGAGAAGATTGGAAAGTATTGGAAAGTGGGCAAATATCCGGTCAAAAAGTGCTTGGGCTTTTCAGGAGAACCTGCACTCACGACTCCTCGGAGTCTTCACTGTGCACCTCAGGAAGCCGTGTTCTGTTCACACTCTGCTATCAACAACCTCACCCCTAGTTCCTTCCATTCCATCCCCTAAATAAACTCCTACATTTCCCCTTCAGTCAAACGTTTTCTCAAACTCTTCAATCGACTTGAATAGCTCTGAGAAATTTCCCTTGCCAAAGCCTCCGCAACCGCCTCTCTGCGCAACGTTGCCGTCTTGGTCCACCTCCATGCAGCCGACACGTTGAATTATCTCGATGAAGATTGTTGGCCGGTCGCCGACTGGCCTTGTGAAGATCTGCAGCAGCAGTCCCTGATCGTCCTTATCGACTAGAATGCCCAGTTCCTTACATTGCTGTAGCTGCTCCGGCGTGAGGTCCTCCCCGAACTTCTCCGGCAGGCACTTATAGTACGCATCTGATGCTCTGGGCATGAACTCAAATCCTCCCATCGAGCTCCTCGCTCGCATCTGCCTCAGAGTATGAAAGATGTCATCACACGCAAGGGCAATATGCTGGACCCCGGGCCCTTCATTGTGTTCCAGGTACGTTTGGATCTGGGACTGCCGCTTTGTCCCAAACGTTGGCTCATTGACTGGCATGAGCACCTTCTCGCTGTTGTCTGCCATCACCATGCTGTTCAGTCCACTGTCAACGGTTCCGACGTCCTCTGCAACAAACTCAGCGAACTCGTGGAAACCTGTCATGTTTGCAATGTACTGGACTGCAGGCAGAAGCTGGGGTACGTTGCCGACAACATGGTCGATATTGGTCAACCCAAGTGTGCAAATGGGTGCCTCCACAGGTCGGTAGTTGGGAAGGAAGGGACCTTGAAAGGGCTTGAGACCTTCTCGCGGCGGCTGCTCGTTATCCATGCTCTCATCATCAGAGGGCAACTCCGGGGTGCTCACGTAACGAAGCACAACATCTCCGTACAGCACCACCTCTGATATGTCCATCACTCCACCAGTGGTTGCATCGACAAGACGTACGGGCTTGAGCATGCCAATGCCACCATGTTTGGTGCTCTCTTCATAGGCGGTTGCTGCATCCCCAACAAGAAGCCCAACAGCAGCCACAGCTACTCCATGYTTGTCAAAGAAGGAACGAGCATTCTCTGGATTGAAATGAGGATGCGGAACAGCTGGTAAACTATCTTGCCCCTGCTCCACTGCGGAGAGCTCCTTGGCACATAACTGCTTGGAATAGGGTGCTGTGAAGACAAAGGTGATGTCGCCAGATTGGAGCACACGACTGCTGTAAAGGTGATTACCCGTCGTGAGGTTCGACTGCGCGGTTTCACGCATGCCCATCGCCCACGCAAACCTATGACTCACATTGAGAGCATCACCACAGTAAAACTCCACATGATGGAACCCTTTCACCACGAACCGGTCCGACTTCAGGTTCTCCCTGACAAAGTTCTTATGTCCCACCAGCTTCTGTGGGACTGTCTTCGTTGTATCCGCATCCAGAGCTGGCTTGCGTGGGTCTTGTGTGGTCAGGGACTGAGTCTTGCTGCTGAGTACGGGTTCGCATGCCCTTGTTTCTGCGCCTCCATTTGCCATGCCGTTCCCAGATGGTCCCATGCTTGTCGACAGAATCGGGAACGCCGAATGAGCTACAGCAAATGACATTTTCGAGAAGCAAAAACACCAGCTACTGTGCCTTTCCTGATGAATTAGCAGTAGAAGATTGGACATTGCACCAGTTATGGTCAGTCTGTGTTGCATACTTCGATGAGTATGGGCAGAACCAAAGATCAACCAATATAGGATGAGCATGTATGCAGCGGAAGTCTGATAAACGAACTGACTCACATAGACTGACCTACATGGCATCACTCCACACACATACAATCATGAGATGGTGGGGTCTGGGTCATTCATAGACGATACCTAGATCCCGTACACACATACACAGATGAAAGGTGGGAGGAGAGACGAAGGATGTAGGAGGTAGATCACACCGATAGGTCACAA